GTGAATATCTCCGCGGATATCGATGCTACAGGAATAATTTACATATCATCTTGTAGCCAAGAATCAGGGCTTTCGATCTGTCATAGAAACACCTTAGTAGAAAATCGCTTCCTGCCTCGTAAATTGCGATCAAAGTCAAAAAAATTGAATTTTTGAGCGTAAATTTCCGTGAGTCCCGTTTGTGTTACGGAAATTTACACCCCGAAAAATTTTCTGATGTAACAAATCATGTACATGATGTATATTACAAAAATCAGATACCAGAATAAATATTTGTTATATTTAATACACTTATCAGGGGCATAAAAATTTTTTTAAAAAAATTAAAAAATATATCAGGTGCTTGATTTTTATCAGGTGACCGATAGATCCTTGATATATTTATATTACACTTATCGAGAACATATCAGTTACTTATCGGTTACCTATTGGCTATCCTGATAACTACTTGATTGGTTTCCGATATATACCCAAAATACAGATTTCGACTTGTGTAAAACCGTTGTTTTATTATTTTAGAAGATACCACTGATTCAATTATTTTAAAAAAGAAATCAGACTTTTTATCTAATTTATTTCAATATCTTTTCAAGTTTATTATCATCCTTAGTATTAATATCTATCCATTAATCATCTTTTAATTTCATCAACATTGAATATTATCTCCAATTATCTAGATTAATTATTATTACAAGTTCAAGATTTATAATAATAGTTTATAATTAATTTCATTAACTCAGGAATAATAATATTATACAATTATATAATCAAGTATTTAATCCTATAATATCCATTATTCCTTTGTTAACTATATATTTTATTATTTAATATAACTTTTATTTAATATTTCCAATATTTATTATTTTATTAATTCAATTGCAAAATAATTTTTACAAGTGTTTATCTTGGAGTTACAAATTATAAAATTAAATTGGGTTTTGTTTTTATCGCACCTGCGGCATGTCGCATGGGTGGCGTGACCAAATTTTATTGGTGAAAATTTTGTGTCCCTGATTTAGTGATTTAGTGATTTTGCGACACAAATTTAATTATTTTATTATTCAATATTATACTTTAAAAAAATAAACTATTATATATTTTGACGTGAAAATGTTGTTTATTTTTTTTCTTAAATAATCATTTATATATTTTATTTTACCTTCCTTTAAAATTATTTACCTCTTTAACAATGAATACATCTGACAAAAGTCCTTTACCTAATTATACAAGTGAAAATAATTCCAATACTCCGACTTTGTATAAAGAAAAAATATTTAATACATGGCAAAAAACTTTTGATACTATTGAAGGTTGAGCAAAAAAACAAGGATTTAACATTATATATAATCGTGTCATGCGAAAACCTGATGGAACATTTCGTAAACGTACTGTATAATGTGAACATCAAGGTGATTATGTAACTAAATCTAATAGCAAACAAACAACAACAAAACGTATTGGTTGTACTTGACATATTAATCTTTCAGAACTTATTTCTGAAAATACTTTTAAACATGTATATATTACTACAATTAATAATACTCACTCACATAGTCTAAATTCTAATATTATTCAATTTGGAGATAATAAACAAATCCCTTTTGAGATTATGAAAGAAATTGAATTTCTTACTGTTCAATGTAAAATGGGAACATTTACTCAAAGACAATATCTTGAAGCAAAATTTCCGGGACAAATGATTTACAACAATGATCAATATAATGCAATTCAATATTTTCGTTCACAAAGTAAAAATGATATCAATAATGCAGTTAAATTATATACAAGATTGCTTGAATTATCATTACATAATCCAATGTGGAAGGTAGCAATCAAATTTGATGATAATAATACACTTACTCATTTATTTTGGATGACGCCTTCTCAATTAGAACTTTGGTATTGATTTTCAGATATTGTAGTACAAGATGTTACATGTAAAACTAATAGGTACGATATGGCTTTAAATTTATTTGTAATTCTTGACAAAAATCAGAATATTAGACTTGTTGCACAAGCATTATTAATTGATGAAACGAAGGAATCACACGAATGGACATTTAAGCAAATTAATTTAGTAACAGATAATCTTTATCCACGAGTAATAATGACAGATGCAGATCCAGCGGTACATGCTGCAATTAAATCGACATTTCTTACAACTTATCCAATGCATTGTACATTTCACATCAGTCAAAATCTAATAAAAAACTTCAACGACTACTTGGACAAAAGTTTCATGAATTTTTATCAAAATTTTACATTACGCGTAACACATTACATAAGCTTTTTTTTGAATTAAAATAGCAAGATTTAATTAATTTATATCCTGAAGCACAACAATATTTGAATACTCTTTATAATACTAAAGAAGTATGAGCTCATCCTTGGACATGTCAACAATTTACTACAGGACTTCATGCTTCTTCTCCTGTTGAAAGTATTAATGCTTGGATCAAAGGTTACATTTTTAATTCTAATATTTCTTTATGTAAACTTGGTGATATAATAGATAAAAGACAGCTATCTGAAGATAAAAATCATCAGCTTATTTTATGAAAAGCTGTAATTCCATGTACATTTACTCAGATTTCAACAGCAGCTTTTATGTTTACTTTGATTAATAATAAACTTGAAGAATATTTACTTCCGGCTATTTTAAAACTTCAAAAAAATGAGATTCATCAAAGTGTTTTTTATGATGCTTTGCAAATAAATCAAAAAGCGACTAATGAATTTGAGAAGGTATGTTTATATTGATATATACAATTATTTTTTATGATTTTTAATCTAACAATTAATAACTATTGATTTTTATAGTACAATTTTTTATCCGATCAATATTTGGAAGATTTGCCTAATGCTCATCAAATCACTGCATCATGTATTATCGCAGATGTTAAAAAAGAACAAATTTCATCTATGTGGGCTGTATCTGTTGGAAACAAGCTAACTGAAAAATATTTTATTATTTTATTAACAAATGGTTTACATTATTGTTCTTGCTTATCTCTAATTAACCGGGAAATTGTTTGTAGATATTATTTTCAAATAATGCTTCGTAGTTCTATAGCTAAATTTCACTTAAGGCTTATTCCTTCACGATGATATTATAAAGATAAGAATCCTAGCAAAGAATCATTTTTGATTGCTAATAAATTCGAAGATGAAAATTTACCAATTATTCCAGAATCAGATATTCCGTTTTTATCTGCAGTTAATTCAACAATACAAGATTCTATTTCTAATCATGAACGTCTAACTGATATTCAGTTATATGGAAAAATCACTGGTTTGACACATAAAGTTACTATGAAAACAATAAGAAACAAGGATACCCATATAATAGATATTTTGGAGAATTATCTACAAGATGAAAATGAAAATGTAGATGAAAATATGAATAGTATTAGCAGACATACAGAAGATTTAGAATCTGATAAAGAAAATAATTCTTCTGTTCTCAAAAATCCTAATAGACAAACAAAACCTAAAAGGCGTCCTAAAGGTACAAAAAGATTAAAAGCATTTCATGAAAAATCAAATACAATATCTTCGGGAGTTAATAAATAATATAAATGTGGAAATTGTGGTAATATAGGTCATAATAAGCGAAACTGTAATCAAATATAATACTTGAGTAAATTAGACAATAGATTATTTTAAAGTTTTGTTTTTTAAATGTTTTTAACTTTATAATTTAATAAAAAATTCAATAAAAACAATTGTTTGTAATAATTGCTTTAATTTCTTATAATATATGTTAAAATTGAATTTTTATTCATATATTAAAATACTTTATACAAGGTATAGATTAATGTTCTCAATTAAGCCTTACAAAAAGAAAAAATATATAATTAAAGGAATATGTTCTAGAAGTATTAAAAGAGAAAGAGTCAAGGAAATATACTATATATTAATTCCAATAGTTCCACTTATAAAAAAAACTATACTAAACTAAACCAATTTAGAGTCTCCATGTTGTATATTCTGTTCGTAACATAATTTATAAAAGGTTAATAAAGTTCTATTATTAAACTACTAAATCAAAGATACAGTAGCTCGAGAAAATTATAATTAAATCAGAGTTACCTTAAATTATCCTACTTTACTTGAAGAATTCAGTTCATAAATTGCTATACTCTATATTAAACAATCAATTTACAGAGTCTCCATGTAATGTAATTTATAGAAGTAATAGTTTGAAGAAATTACAATTACAGTAAATCGTTCTATGTTAATTTAAATTGTCAAAGCAAAAAGGAGTTTTTTATGTATAAATCGTCAAAGCAAAAAGAAGTTTTCAATGTATAAATCATTTTTCGATTTAAGATATTAAAATAACAATAAAGTTTTAGAAGTTAGTTACAAATATCTTAATAAAGAACTAAGACAACACACTAATTAAATAATAATTAAACAATACTCAAAGTTTTACGTCACGAAAAAAATTTTATTAAATAATAAAATAATTAAATTTGTGCTGCAAAATCACTAAATCACTAAATTGGGAATACGAAATTTTCACCAATAAAATTTAGTCATGCCACCCATGCGACATGTCGCAGGTACGATAAAAAACAAAACCTAATTAAATTTATCAATTTCAAATAAATTACAAATTACCAAAATTCAAAATTATAAAATTGTGAACTAAAGAGAAGCAAGGTAATTTCAGTTCTTTTTTATATCTAAATTTAATGATCTTTATTACTGTGTCATTACTGTGCCCACTGTACTTTACTGTACCTTACTGTACACTACTATCATTAATTATTATTCTTTTATATTATTTACTAAATATATCTAATACCAATTGATACTATATATTAATAATTATTGTTAAATAATACTAAGTGATACTGTACTTTACTGAACCTTACTGTACACTACTATCATTAATTACTATTCTTTTATATTATTTACTAAATATATCTAATACCAATTGATACTATATATTAATAATTATTGTTAAATAATACTAAGTGATACTGTACTTTACTGAACCTTACTGTACACTACTATCATTAATTACTATTCTTTTATATTATTTACTAAATATATCTAATACCAATTGATACTATATATTAATAATTATTGTTAAATAATACT